AATCTTTATGGGAGTAGAAAGCCTCATCTTTCTCCCGCGGAGCAGCTGGTAGTTTCGAACCGCTGACCTTAAGGTTCACAGCCCAATTCGTAACCGCTACGCTACCAGAGCTCCTATTATATATTATTACTCAGCTGTAAAAGAGAAATGACGCTCCAATACGTACGTGGATGAACCTCGAAAACATTGAGTGGAAATCAATCAGATACAACAGGATAAATATTGCATGATTCCACTGATATAAATTAGACTAATGTTTCCAGACCAAGAGGAGCCTTGGTGGCTCAACAGTGAAGTGCTCAACCACAAGGTTGATAGTTTGTACCCACCCAACGGCTTCATCGGAAGAAAAACCTGGCTGTCTGCTCTCATAAAGACAGCAGCCTAGAAAATTCCATGGGGCAGCTCTACTCTGTCACACTGGGGCGCTAAAAACAACAGAGGAGGGGGAGAGAGAGATGGGAGTGGGAGAAAGAGAGAGTGTGAGGCGCAATAAGACCATCTGGGCACGGGCTAGCCCACCATAATGTCATCGAATTGAACACATACCTGTAAAAATGTCTGACTCCGCAGATGTTTTCTTTTTTTTTTTTAATGAAATGTTTTTATTTTGGATTGAGTGAAAGTTTACAGGGCACATCATCAGCTTCACATTCAACCATTCATATAGCTTGTTTCATTACATTGATTATTATCCCCGCCATATATCATCAGTTAACAGTGTTTATCTCTATCCTCTTTAGCTTTTTTTTTTTTTGGATGGGGGGGGCGCAGATGTTTTCTTAGCTGTACCTTTCTATCACAATAAAATAATTCAAAATAAAGAGCATTTGTATCTTCCACAATCTTGTTCTGTACCCATCTCCTTCTACTCCAGGTGGAAACGAACTTTCTGACTTCTACACTCTTCATTTTCAAGTTTTAGAGTTGATTTGTTTCATAATGAGATTTATTTCATGCTTTAAAAAATTCACCTAGAATTGAATTTGCTTCCTTTGGTCAACTGTTTCTATGGGTTTTAGCAAATGTGTAGATTCTTGTCCAGCCTCCGTCTAACCATGTGTCAGCTTGTGGCGACGTGTGATGCTCCAGTGCTGGGATTTCCAAGACCAGCAGG